ATATCCAACTTGGTTAATCAATTGGAGAACCACTGGCAAGCGAGAGTGACACCTAACCGGGATCATTTCCAGTGATTTCAGTTACAGGACTTTTGAAGGATATCAGTTATATCAATGCATTATAGGACCTACAAAACATCACGCTATGGCAAACCCTTCTAGCATTAAAGACCTTCAGAAGATATTAACTGGTCCAAGATTACATTTAAACCTGAAGGTAAATGTTGCTCTCATTTCCTTCTCCACTTTGGATCAGCCTTCCTCAAAGCCACACTAAATTACTGAAAAGTATTATTATGTTGTTATCTTAAAACTTGGTATTCCATTTTGTTTTATAATTGTTTTCATCTCAATCAACACAAGATAAATAATCCCAATCAACTATCCATTTTCAAAACATAGAACATGAATTAAACACTTTTCATATTAAAACAATTCATCCACCACTTTAAACATAGGACATAACAAGTAGTATTACAATTAAAATGCTCTTGATGTTTTAAACTTTGTTTACATTTATTTCCCCCTAAACCTCTTTGAACACCACTCTATAGCTCTTAAACGTTACATCTTGTATATATATTACTTTTTCAATGTTATCTTTGAGTTAAACATGATTATAGATCCTTTTCAGGAGGGCAAAAACAACAACTGCCTCTTCGTTAGTCACTTTATCACGTGACCTGTTTAATCACCGGTGCTCTTTAAAGGTGTCCTCATATAACATGCTGCTGCCCTCAGCATTTCTCCACCAGGGTCAAACTGAAGGGAACGTCCACTTCTCACGAGTCAAAGGGCAGCAGAGGTATTCCATACGTCAACCAGATACAATAATTTCATTATCTGTCAGTTCAGAGTCCTCTTGTGTTTTTAACTCATGGCAGACAGATTTCACCCAGCACATTTTTATGTTAAAATAAAATGTAAAGCATGTAATGACCAATTACAACATAATTACTTTGGTTAGTATTTGAAAATAAATGATTTAAGGGAATAATAGTTTTGCAAGAATCAACGGAATAGTGTGGTGAAGAATTACACTGTGTACATGTTTGATGAAGTAAAATATCTGAGGTTAGGATTAGCTTGTTGTCATCTTAGATAATGAGTCCATCCATGAGGTTCATGACCAGTCTTTGTGTGTGTGTGTGTGTGTGTGTGTGTGTGTGTGTGTGTGTGTGTGTGTGTGTGTGTGTGTGTGTGTGTGTGTGTGTGTGTGTGTGTGTGTGTGTGTTGAGCTAACTCTGAGCACTATGGAATAATTGATGGTATATATATTTTACTGGCTCGATCGTTGGTGTAGCCTATCCTTCCAGTGGATGTGGTACCATGAGGTCAGATTTGAAGGTCTGATGTGCCACTTGGAACAGGAAGAGGGTGCTGTTTTTTATTTCAAGCTTGAACAATGATTTATGACTAGCAGTCTGTGGATTTATGCAGTGGAGGAATCTAACTGAGTACATTTCGAATTCTTCTATTATTTCCTTACTTTCCTGACAATAGAAGCCTGGAGCAGCCAAATGCTGTCTGTAACATTACATTTAGTTAAAGCAAACATCGTTTTTTTATTTAATGAATCAGGTGTCTGTCTACTGCATTTTATTAAAAAAGATATTTAAAATTAAAAAGAGTAAAAATAGCCCTAATGAAAACAAAAAGAAAAATCAGGGAGTAAGTTTACTTATTATTAATGGATATTTATTACAAAATGGATTGTAATATTGTTATCCTGATAGTAATTCCCATAAAAACAATCTACCAGTTATCTGATTTATGCATTTTTTTAATATACCTTTAAGGGAATACAGCAATTTCTGTTTGTATCCCTATTAGGTAATCCCATTCATAATAATTATGTATAATTAACAAATAAAGTAATATGTTCCCCAAACCTGTATAGTAACAAAACAATGTATCTGTGTCCCATGAGACACACTTCACTGGCTCACCAGGTGATATAAAGAGTTAAAGCTTTATTGGTAGCTTTAAAGCCAAATTGAAAAGTGCTCTAAAAGCTATTAAACGCAGTAACCACTGACTCTGCATTTTATAGATTTAGCTTTGTATGCAAATATCCAGTTTTTGTATGTATAACATGCAGTTGCTGCTGACATGGTCTGTAATGTACTGCTTGGTGCAATGTGCCCTGTATTTGTATAGTTTAAGAGAGTGTTGTGTCTCTTACTGAGCATATTTTTCAATTAACCTGTATAAAACGGCAGATAAACATTTTATTTCAAGCCTTGTACAATACATACATTGCTATAATCTATGTTTAATATTGTATAATGTCAATTATAAACAACATAGAATGAGTTTACACACAACGATACTGACAATCCAGAGGACTTTTGGTAATCACATCATCATGCTTTCACCTCCTGCTCTATTTTGACTCACTAACAATATAGTACCCATTTGAGGTCTCTTTTGAGATACAGAATCAGTCTATTTTCCCCATGTACAATGTCATTTACATCCCCCTCCTCCCAAAAAAAACATGTCTTGATTGACTCCAGTCCCAGTGGAGGGAGTCTGCTATTATCTTGACACACTGAGGTATGACCTCATTTTGTCCTCTGAAAGAGATGAAGAGAAACAAGAACACTGAATGTGAGGGTGAATCTCATTCTGACATTTATAGTCCCGATGGAAGCTTTGTAAAGCTTGGGGAATACTCCAAAATGGATAGCGAAGTACTTCTATTTTTATTGTTAATCAGTCATATACAATAATTGCATGATGAATAAAATGGTACACACATTATCTTTGCCATAATTCCTGATATATGAGTCTATTAGAATAGTCCCCCTTCTTAGCGACCGTATAGGCTATAGGTATAGGTTATTTTCCATCTGACACAACATATCTAATACATCTGACGCATATTGAATACATTTATTGCTAAACCTTCAGGTTTAGTAACCTTAGGTTAGTGTTTATAATTTATTGACATATGTTGCAGAGGGCTTTCATTTAAAACACCAATATGTTTTCAGACACAGTTTTACCCTGAAATCCAAAGCCTTCCTCTTTGTATGCACATTTGAATAGATAAGAAACTTTAATGTGACAATTAAATTCAGTCATTTGTGTTTGTAAGAGATGGGTATTTGGTTGATTGGTGATAACACTCTTACTAATGGAAAACAGTTTAATTGGAGAAGCAAAAAGTAAAAGGGTCTCAAATGGAAAAGAGAATATTAATAAACATATAAAGGGTAGTAAGTAAAAAGGATTTTATAAAACCATAATGGGCAGTGCGTTTTCAGTGGTTTAAAATGTATAAAATTGACTAAAGTAAAAGTAGCAATATTGCATTATAAAAATACTCCCATAAGCTTCCTGAATTTAGTTATTTTCTAAGCCAAAGTACAAAGTACTTGAAACAGAATGTATTAGAAATATCGAAAATAAAAATACAATTCACTAGCTGTGAAATGGTCAAACATTTTACTCTTGAACATAGAGTTTAAAATGGTATATGATGAAAGTACACAGTTACAAATACCGAAATAAGTTACCTAAGTACATGTTACTTACATACATGTTGATATTAACTAGTTAATGCCAGATTTATTGGGAATTGCCTGTAATACAGAAACGTGACAGAGAGTGGAGATGTGAAAAAAGTAGGGTTTGATTAATATTAGGGACAGATGTACTAATATCTTGAGGGGCATAACATTACCACAGTTTTACACACTATTGTGCACTCAGTGTGAAGACGCTTATGTTATCATGTACAGACTTCTTATTAAATGCACCTCACCTCATTTTGTGTCAGTTAAAGGTGCATGACATGATTTAAATATCACTGTTTATTGCTCATCACTTTTGATCAGCTCAGATCTGCAACAGTAGGTACTGCTGTGTGACCTGATCAAAAAGATTATTTTTTTAAATGTGCACGTTCCTGTAAATTGAGTTTATATGATGGGATGCAAATTAGGATCTTTGTTTTATATGCAATGGGCCAGACATACAAATATATTGGGATACATTTTGTTTATGTTGAGTCGTACCACATGTTCAAACTGAGCTTGGAAAACAATGTGGAATGATTAAAAAACATGGGGGACAATTAAATCATCTTTAAAGGATCAATAAAATAACAATCTTGGTCATTGTAATTGCTTTTAAATGTTTTAAAAATATTACCTGTATTTTTTATTTTATATGGCTATTGTGCTCACTTACTTGTAGTGTGTAACAACTGTCTGTACTTTAGTTTTGATGTTACAACATAAATGCTGCCCCCTTTGACAGGCCCTCCTGAAAAAAGTCCTGACTCTAAACAGGAAGAATATATCGATGTGGGTTAGCTCATTAACTATTCTTATATCCCACCTTGAGCATATGAATCAGATCATACTTTAGTCTTTATATTCTCACGGAGAGATACCGCAGGTCCTTCCTTCCTGCAGCGGTCAGACTATATAACCAGCACGGCCCCTAGTAGACCCCCACACACACAACAACACAGACTATAACACCTCTTGTTGTTAAATACCAATGTGCAATACGTGCAATATATATGCCGTTAAAAACTGTGCAATATATACCTGGCTGCTAAATCCTCAGAACTGTTACAGGGTGTGTATTTTTGTAAAATGTGTAACTTTTTTATTATAATTTCTTTTTTTAATCTTTATTACTTTTTTATGCATGCTTAGGTCACATTAGGCTGTCTTTGGCTCTTTTCTGCTGTAACAATGTACATTTCCCCTCTGTGGGACTAATAAAGGTATTCTGATTCTGATTCTGATGTCTTGACAGCAATTTCTAATTTTCATTTTTTGTTGTGAGGGATGTTTCTTTGCAGGGTTTTCCTCGTAAAAGCAATGTCCTGATAACAAAACCTCCTGATGTAAGGTACCCCTGGTACAGTTATAAATAGTAAAGAGAGTGAGTGCTGGTTGGGTGTAATGTTCCTTTAAAGGCCGCTGCCCCCTGCAGCGTCGTCACTGCGCAGAGCAGTTTGAACCAAAAAGCGGAGTGACCTTCCTCCGCTCTCAGTGAGTCTGAGAGGGGCAGCACTGAAGCAATAAGCCGGTAACAGCTCCTACGGTCCCCCACGCAAGCCACAGAAATGAACAACAACTTAGTCGGAGATGAAGTCGGGTAAGATGCATTTAACAACGCCTTCTGCTGCAGACGCATGACACTGTAAACTACGTTATAACTTATAATTAGCGTGCTCTCTTGTCAAGCTGTCATCTGACAGCTAACGTTAGCTACCAGGCTAAGCTAGCTGTAGTAACTCAGTGGGATCGCTAGCCCGGGGAAAGAGGGCTAAAAAGTGAAAGTAGTCATCAAATAAGCTCAGTTGTAACTGTTATTTCTTAAGACGAAATACACCACGTTTATCTGGAGTGTTGCCACTTAGCTTGTCAAGGTGAAGTGTGAAAGTGTAGTTACTTATTTCAGTGTTGTTTCGAGTTAGCACCGGAGCTAGCTTAGCTAAGCCAGCGAAGCGAAAGTCTCCTCTTCTCGACTTGGCCAGTGTGAGGACATTTAGCGGGCACGGCTGGAGGATGGAGCATCCTGCACCGACCCTACACTTTGACCACTGCTGCTTCATCACCGCTGGTGTGTTTCAGCACGGATCTCTACCAGTCATGAGCTGACCACCTAGTTTGATATTAGTGCGGCTTAAACTTGCAGTTTTACAACCAGCATCCGAGCTCCGCGATCCGCAGGCAGGGAGCCGGGCAGCCGCTCCGCTGTGTCCGCTCTGACTGCACTGTGCTCGGGGCTTCAGCGCTGAAGGCTGCTGCATCCTCTGGAGCCAGTTTGTCAGCTGAGTGCTGTGTTTGCTACGGCTCTGTCCCGGGGTAACTTACGTGGCAGGATGTTCATAAAAAGACTGTTATTGTCGACGCTAATGCAGTGTGTGTCAGAAGAGCAAAGTAACATCCACGAGCAGCACTGTACCTCAACATGAGTCACATTCAACGCGGACCTTTAAACTGAGGCTGAGCGTATAGCTGCAGCAGCTTTGGTGGCAGCGTTGCCTCATGTTGTGTAATATCTGTGTACTTATCTGTTCAGTCAGCTGTAGCGTCGTTATGGCTCCTAAACTGTGCTGTCACTCTTCTCCTCTATCTGTGTAGTTAGTCTTTTAATGCTGCTGTGCAGGCAAACGGTCTCAATGCTTGTTATTCCTTTTGTATGTGACTTGTATTACAGTGCATTTATTCTAAATTTAATTGATAACCCCTGACTGACTTAATATTTTTTTATCTACTCTTTACAGTAAACTTTTTGTGGGTGGCTTGGACTGGAGTACCACACAAGGTAAGTCAAGTTAAAGCTTAGACCCTGTGCTTTTGGTTAACAGGATTTTGTGTAACGGTTGCATGGATTTGCTTGCAGACTGGAGGATCTGGTTGGTAGCGTGTTGAAGAAAGCCATTATGGATTACCAGATAATATTTAGCTATTAAATACATGTGAGAGCTAGGTACAATTATAAACATTCAAATATTCAAAAAACATACAAAGTGTTTTACCTTCTCCTCCATGACAGTATTCATGAGTGTATGGTATTTAGCACATGGCAGGTTATTTATACAATGATTGAAATAAGGGTGTATGATGATTGGCCTCTTTGATGATCATACAGATAAATGTTCGTACTTATTTATTCTTTGATCAAGCGTTGCCTTATTTGTTTTTGTTCATATTATGTTATTTCTAATGTCACACTGTTACAGTAACTACATCCAAATGCCATTACGCTTTCCTGTGTTTAAAATATGGTATTGAGATTTTTTTATTTTTTTGTTGTTATTGGTGATCATTTGCAAACACTGTCAGTGAAGTGTACATCAGACAGTCTTTATTGGGTCAGCGTGTGCATTCCCCTCCCAGACTGCCCAGAGATGGTCTAGTTTGTCTTAAGCCCCTTATTGGCTCATGCTTGGTTAGCCATTGTGTGACTTTGAGCAAGGCTTTGTCTGTGTTAACAGCACTGTAAAACATTAGGATCTGAACCACAGCGCTGCGTAACCCTGAGCTTGTTTCCCTAGCGATGCCCCAGGGCTTCCCAGCAATGAGAAAAGCGATTACGATTACTCTCAAAAGTGGCTTCTCATTTGTTCAAACTTGCAGGCCTTGCTGTGGGTGTGTGCGGGAGTCACAGTAGTTGGGTGTATATTTAGTGCTATTCAATATTGAGTTTGTCAGTGCCTTGTTTGCACTTGAACATCAATATGTCGCTTGAATATTTCTGCATTGTTGTTTTTATGTTTTCACATTAGAAAAAGGTAACATTCCCAATACTACCATTAAATATAATCAAGGTCACTTGAGGATTGTGTAATTTCATGAAGTGGTGCTTGTGTGTTTTCCCCAACACCTGTTTTAGCGCAGGTTGAGCTGCTGTACATATTTTCCTACTATCATTTATCAAAAGGAAAGCATCAGCTCTATAAATCATGAGTACACTTCTTTGTGTCCAGGATAGAAACTGGGCTTATATATCTCAAATGTATAAAACCACCTATGCTGAGTTGTTGTATGTTTCTATGCTTAATATAATGAAGCAATACTGTTGTGTAATTTATTTATTTCTCTTCTCAGAGACACTTAGAAACTACTTCTCACAGTATGGGGAAGTAGTAGATTGTGTCATCATGAAGGACAAAGCTACAAATCAGTCGCGAGGCTTCGGCTTTGTCAAATTCAAAGACCCCAATTGTGTACGGACAGTGCTGGAGACAAAGCCGCATAATCTTGATGGAAGAAATGTAAGTATTTTAAATCAAAGGAGCACATAATCAAATCAACCTGAGTAATCAGCCTGTGCTTTGTGTGAACAATATGAAAAACCTCATACTGGATTTCACAATACAGAGTAGTTAGAAGTTATTCAAGGAGAAGCACTGACATGCAGACATTAGCACGAATTCAATTCACTTCAATTCAAATTTGGATGTTTTTTTTCAGGATTTACCTGTTTTGTGTCAAATTAGCACAATTGGCAGTGAACGTAGATTTCCCTGAGAAGCCGTTGTTCCCTTCCCTTCTGCATTAACATCAATGCAGTCAGCTCCCCATGAATGACATAGTGCCACATTTGTTCTGTTGAAGGAGGAAAAGAAGAGCATAACATTTTATGGCCGCATATTCAAATGAATGTCAGTACATTTATTAGGCGAGTCAATATACTGTAATGGATTCAGTGAAGGTGAACATTTGAAGGTGCCTTTATTTGGAGCTAATGTCAAACGCTTCCTCTCTCTCTGCTGTCAGATTGACCCGAAGCCATGTACTCCCAGAGGAATGCAACCTGAAAAGTCTCGAACCAAGGAGGGCTGGGTAAGAGAACAATGTCTACTGGGTTATGCTAGGTGTTTCTGCTGGAATAAGACTCAGTCAGTGTCTCCATCCCCTCCTCCTGAGGTTAGACTCCTTTCATAGCCCACAAGGAGACCTTGAACTTCATCTATAAAACTAGTCTGACTTTGACCTACATTCCCTGTAGAGAGCCATTTCAACAAAACACAAAAAATAGAAAAAGATTACAGTGCAAAGCTTTCAAACCTTTGAGAATGCTAGAAATTAGATTTGGGTTTTTGCTAAATCACAGAAGCATTAAAGAATATATGAACCTCAACCTCTTTTTTGATCGAGGGACTGCGACTATATCAAGAGATAATTGGTACAGTTTACACCGTCCTGGGATTGACACATGATAAGGTCACATTTTCCCAGATGAAACAAAAATGAAGAGGTCATAGGCCTGTATCACCATGCAAAATGTTTGAATTTCAAATGACACATTTGCCTCCTTTTTTTGAATGCAGTAGTTTTATGTTACTTCTCTGGAATGTGTATTATCTGTCCTCCCTCATTGAATAAAACTGAAATACCACAAGTAAAACTAGAGACGAGTAGGCTTGTGTGGTTCAGAAAATTGCTTTCAGCAGTGCATTTTTGAATGGCAGAAATCTCTGCAGCAATGTGGGTAATTTGTGGGTCGATCAACATCCCTCTGCAGATTTATTATAGGCATGTTGTCCTTTTGGACGTAAAGGCTTTTACCAACTGCACCTTTCCTGTTCATAAAACCTTTTTATACGTCATATATTTGGCTGTAAGCATAGATTGTAAGTCAAAAGCTTTTATAAATGTGGCTCTTTCCCTCCTGCTGGACCTCCTTTTACTGAGTAGCTGCCTCTTAATGTTTTACTAACAAAGCAGACAATGTAATTGTTAAAAATCATTGTCGTAAGCAGCCTCTAGCCGTTGCAGCTTGAGTGCAGTGCGCAGCAATGCTGAAATGCTTGGTGGCTGAGAGTAAGGGGAGGGAGCTGTGCTCTCTGATCTGTGGAGACTAGTGTTTGCATTGACATGACATGTTAAGAATTATACCCCAGGGCAAGAGGAGAACCTAATTTCTCCTGCACTGTCTGAATAGATGATGGCTCCTTCCCAGAGAGATCCTTTAAAAGACACTGAAATCCATATTGTTTTCTTTCAGAAGGGCAGCAAAGCCGATAGCAATAAATCAAAGAAGATATTTGTAGGTGGAATCCCCCATAACTGCGGCGAGCCTGAACTCAGGGACTATTTCAATAGATTCGGAGTGGTGAGTATTGCCAAGTGCATAATGCAGTTAATAATATCATTAAGAATGCTTGAATGGATGTGACATTGAACAGGGTCAATACTACACTATAAAATAAATTAAAGTTTATGCTGGAATCGGAAAATTAATTATTTTATCAAATTGAGTCAGAATATTTAATTGAAGTAAAAATGGACCTGGTCTGGTTTTCTTAATGGAGCCACTGTTTCCCTTTGTCCCATTCAAGGTCACAGAGGTGGTAATGATCTATGATGCGGAGAAGCAGAGGCCCCGAGGTAAAAGCTGATCCCGTTTTTTCTCTCCCCTCTCCATACCTTACATCTTAAATCTCATGACAAACTATTCTGGCCCAAAGAGAAAAGAGCTTCAATTCAATTTAAACACTGTAGGCCATAACAGGCTTTTAATGTGTAGTGAAGGCGCACAATTAAACACGAAAGCATGTTGGATGAAACGTTACAAACCGTACAAAGTCACCACAGTGTACAATCAAATGAGAAATCTTACTTGATATTTCTGGAGGAATGAATAGCTCAGTCTAATGCCTAATGCTCTGCTCTCCTGTAAAATACATGACATTCTAAAACGGGCATCAGGGCGATACCTTCATGTGGTTACACATTTTTGCAATTTGACATGAATGTAATCTGCTGACTCGATACAATGGTAGATGGCACCTTTAAAACCTCTCATCTTTCTGTGTCATATGCTCAATTCGGAAAATGTTTCGGGAATCACAGGTTCTGATTTGTACTGATGCAATGTCCTTCATGACCTTGTGTGACAACCTTAGCATGTTCCCTAAACACAAATCTACTCTGTAAAATAGCTAGAGCAAGAAGGAATATATATATTAAAAGCCTTTAGTGAACAGTATTGGTTAAAACACAGATCGGTTATGACTTGATGATATCTTCATCAGAAATGATTAAAATGTAACAAAAAAAGATGGTCATCCTCAAGGGCGTAATGTCCGCTGTACTCACTACATTGGAAACTGAGTATTCTCATGGGTTGATACAATACATGTATTACTACATCAAAGTATATATCAACACAGCTTATTGTGCACTGGATAAATGTTAGGAAAACCCTAAGGAAGATCTGTCTGATCCAAAAAGCTCACTGAGGCGTTCAAATTTGTTTAAGGATGTATGAAGAATTTCTAGTTTTAGGTGGTGTTGACACCAAATTCAGATAGTATCCTCAGTATTCTTGAAATAGGGCTTCTTACATTTATTTTAATGAATGTATCTCTTAATCAATTTTTTGTCTTTTAAATATAAGAAAACAGGTTTTTTTACGCACACATTTCCTAAACACTTAATTCATTGTTTGGTCTAACCGGCAGTCAATCTTCAGTGATGTTTTTTAAATAGGTTTGCAGGATTGATCATATTTTCAAGAAATGCAAAATCTGAATTATGATAAAGAATCCTCATACTTGTATTAAATGCAAAAAGTTTCTACCTCCAAGTCACTAACTGAGGAAAAGTAGGCAGGTTGTAGGAAAGTAGGTGCTCCAAAAATGATAGTACTTTATCACAACATGCATCTGGCATATTGAGAGCAGTTTGAGTATCTAAGGGGAGGTGCATGTCCTTCAAAGGGGCTGGAGGTCCATTGTTATCACAAGAACAATGGAACCGTTTTAAAGCGTTTTTTCTTTGCTCTAACCGTATTTCCTGACAGACCATTCAAATCTCGGAGGAGTTTACCCATTTAATCATAAATGTGATGTGAGTTTATGACATGTGCCAACACTTTTAGCATGGATGTGCTCACTGGGAATCAGACCCACCAGCAGTGTGTCAGACCCCGCCCGCTGCCTTGAAGTCACAGTTGTTTCATCTGTGTTTGTCCTACATAGCAAAGATGCAGCGGCCGCTGACCCACAACATATATTACCGCTCTCCTCTCAAACCCCCATTCATTCTCTATTGGGCGAAACTCAGAATAGTTTGTCATTTGAATTTAACATGATGTATTGCAACAGTAACAGTATCTCTACTAGTATAACATTTTCTTTTACTAAAACCAATAAACTTTCAATGTTGGAATAAGTTTTCTTTACCTTGATTTAGATGTAACTTATACATGTATCTTAAATGGCGTAGTATGTGTTTTCCTTATATTTAGAAAGTTAAGTAATTTTGTAAGTAAGCCCTTTCTATTTTTCTTTCTTCTGCCCCCCTTCTCCTTGTGAATGGTTTGAATGTGATTAACGGTGTCTCTTAAGATTTGTCTTTTCTCCTTTAGGTTACTGTGCATTGACTGGTAGCACAGAGGTACAGGCCAAATGTAAAAGCACTCAAAAAATGGTCTTGGTCTATATGGGAGGTGTACAAAGTTGCATCAAATTGTAAAATTGTCTGCAGGATATTATTTCCTTGATTCTATTATTTGAGCTTTATATTTGATCCATGCGACAATTGAAATGTTTGCATGGATGTTTACCAAGGACGATATTCACATTATCATAATATAAGACCAATATTCCAAATATCAAGACGTAAGAATCAAATGACTTTAAATCACATTCTTGGTTTAAAACTTACAAGAAAGCTATACTGTAATCACATCATAATGCAATTACATAATTATATAGAGAACACATGATTAGGGCTGCAACTAACAATGATTTTCTGTATCAATAAATCAAACAACAATTTTACCGATTAACAAATTAAAAGTTTGTTATATAAACTGAATTTCTAATATTGTTTGCAAAAATCAGTCATTTGTGTGTTTAAAATATCCCATTTCATTTGTGATTGAAAAGAGGGAAAAATATTAACAATCTTTTCTTAGCTGTCAATCATCAGTATTTGAAAACTGATTTGACCAACAATTCTTAAAATGTTAACTTGAGTGAAAGACTAAACTCTCCAATGTGGCGACTTAGTTTTAAATTCTCATCAAGGACGGGTCATTGACAGATGTTATTAATAGTGATAGATCATGATGCTGGGGATTGCTTGGCGTGGCACTAGAGGTCCCTCTAAAATCTGTTGTCTCGTAGGACCTTTAATTGGATTCAGGTTAGGTCCCCAAGTAGAGATGTGCACACAACCCAATTCTGCCAAAGTGGAAGTAAATCAAATTGAAAGTAGATCACTGCAGCGTACCACGACCTGCTAATAAAAGTTCTGTTACAGATTGTCAGATGAGTTTACTGAGCCAACATGTTAGACCGAAACGTTCCTTCTTGTTGTTGTTGATGAACTTTGTATACACCCCATAAAAGTCTTGATCAAAATCTGCACTTGTCACTTTGGGAAACCCGTTGTGGCCTATATCTTTGTGTTACCGTTGTGATCAATACTTTAATTGTACATTTTAGGCTTATCCTGGCTGACTCAAAAGTGAAATACTGAATTTGGGAAAGCTTGGAGAAAGCTTTAGGCATTCTACAGTTTGTGTTTCTCCATGTTTTGTGATGCATTAACAATGGCTGCTGCGAGTGTGTGCTCCACAGCAAAATACCAAGGGACAGATCAAGGTGGGGTTTGGATGAAACAGCATGAAGTAACACAATTATTCAATTGGCATTTATCATTGGTAAAGAGTGGGAAATGGACTTAATTTATGTTTTTGTGACATTTCACATGAAGTCAAATGCTGCACTCATCATTCTTCATGTTTAGCAGTTAAGCAGTCCTGTATTGTCATCTTGACAAAATATTTCAAATTTTTGCACAGTAAAGAGCAAAGTTTCCTCCGATCCCCCAGGCTTTAGTCTTGGATCTTTGTTCTGCGACATCATCCGAACCCCAGGAGCATCTTGCTCAGTCTTGACGGATCCTCACTCTGCTGAAGCCCAATACTGTTCTTCATCTTGTGTTGTCACAACCCCCCTGCTACCTTGATTCACTCTTGGTCGTTGGCTAGGTTTTGGATTTATTACTTTCGAGGCCGAACAATCAGTGGACCAGGCTGTCAACATGCATTTTCACGACATCATGGGCAAAAAAGTGTGTAGTTGTAGTTTTATTTTACCCTTAAGATCAAACAGAGGCTTGGGCGACAGAGTGAGAATTATGATGCTGTTTTATTTTCTTTACTTTCCAGTGGCTTCCCATTAGTGACTGCAGCATCTTATAGCACAAAGTTAGCCTTTACACATCCTAAAATCACAAGGCCACCTATTAATTTACTCATCTTATTATTATTTTATTAATAATAATATGTTTTGGCTCTAAACATTTGCTACCTTCACACCTATTGCTTATATAGGCACAATACATTTATACTAATGCTCTTATATTAGTTTTTTATAGTCGCCTAAGGCTTTGTTTAAATCGACCACTCCTTTAGGATGTCCTGAGTGCATAAGATTGTACATCAAATATTAAAGTCACATTATTTTCTGTTTTCATATTTAAAATATAAGCAAAATTAAAATTCAAAGCTCATAGGATTTGCATGAATATAAATCACCTAAAGGATTGGTCAATTCAGTTCCGTTTCTTTTGATTTCTGATCTTTTGTTGGCAGGTCACTTACATGTCAACATGTTTTCTTTTTCTTTTTCTTTTTCTTTTTTTCTTTTCGAAAAGTAAAAAAAAAAGCTCAACTCAGTGACCTCAGTTGAAGAATCTCCATACTGTATCCTTCAATTTCCTAAATAACAAAAGACAATTTACTCTAAAACGCTGCTTGGATCAGTCATTTTGAAATGTTTGCTTTTACTCACTGGGTGTACCAGATGGATGGCGTTTACTGCGCAAAGAGAACTCAGACAGCGTCAGGTAAGCTGTCCATCCGGGAAAACACTATCAATTCATTATGTCGTTATATTTAAGCACCCCTCCTAACCCTCTGGCAGTCCTTGTATTCTTCTATTGCAAGTGGAAAACACCTAATGCCTGGCACCTCAGCTGAGTAAAACAAACCATTAAAAAAATAAAGTGCTACTTGGTACACATGCTAGGATTGGTCCTGACACTTAGGGGCACTTTTAAAGCTTCCATTCACTAAAAATCCCTCTTTTCCCCAATAGAGACTTTTTGTAATTAGCAGCTTTTAAAGCAGCTTTTGTGGGCATAGGAAAATGATCAAAGTCAAACACAGTGTAGTCAGTCGTATTATCACATGTATCCTATTTCTGTCCTTGATCTTCACATGGCTGCATACGTGTTTTAAATCAGTCTGCGATACTTGACACTGAGAAGACCTTTGTTTATGTCTTGGGATTTATTTATGGTTTTTATTTACAATGTTAAAGCAGTGTTTGTTTTTTTACTTTTGATAAGGGCTTGTTGGGGTGGTATTCCTGCACTGAATAGTGTGTGCAGTGAATTTTTCCTTCTTGAATTTCTGTGTTAGTGAAGCCAGTGATTCTGTAGGATGATCTTAACATTATCTCTGTTAAATGAAATAGCAATGTTTTAAAGTATATTTGGGGGCATTCTTGAGAGTGGATGTAGATATATAACGGGAAATGGAAGACAGAGAGATAGGGAATAACTTACAACTAACGTGCCTGGTTGGAGTTGATCCATTGGTTTGCTATTAGCACTAACAATCCTAGCCCTACTATGTGTAATCTAAACAAACTATTGAATGAAAGCTTAATATTTTCATTTGTACTATTATATTTTTGGTTGTTTCTTTTTAGACAAAGAAGCGTAACAACTTTCCTGAACTGATTTCAAGATGGATTTTGGTTAATGATCTTGAGCAACACTAAACATTTTAATTGAAATGTCACTTAATACACTAAAAATCCCATTTCCTAGGTAAAAGAATCAGCCCTACCTGTATACTCTCCAGTGGAGCCCGCCCCCCTTGACTTTGCCCTGGTTTCCAGAAGGAATCGAGGCTTACCTTAATCCATTGTTCTTGACTTGACATTACCTTACGCTGGGACTTGAGGGAGGCTGGGAGATATGAGCTACAAAATTAGAAATTGGAGCACATCAAACTGTGGAACAAATCCCAAGTCTGCTGTTGGGGACTGCACAGAAGTCATGGTATCCATCACTCGTCGCTGTGATGCCCACGGGAGAAAGTGCTCAGGTACCTGCTGGCGGCGGCGGGCCGTTGCCGGAAACATGTGCATGTAATTAGGTCGACAGAGAAGGAAGAGGGGAGGCTGGGGAAGGTGGCAACACCTTAAAGCGGGAGGAATTTGTGATTCGTTTCCTTTCTGCAAGGTGACCCCAATAACTCAAACCCTCAGTCTATTTCTGGTTGGCCCCCCCTTAGTCTCAGCCTGTTTCTTTGCTCTGGTTAACTGCTGGTAGCTTTGCCTAGTTACAGGAAGGACATTTTTTGTTTTTGGGGCAATATATTTATACTTGACTTGTGGCATTTACTAGTACAGCGATAGATATTAGCAATACATCAAGGTCAGATTTAAGAATGACAGCGGATGGATAAAGTCAGTTGGCATATGTTAATAAATTGATGGTATAAGGCGTTGATTCCCACACAGTAATTGGTCACCTCCGGCAGCAGTTTGACATTCAGGTCCAATTCGGTCAGTCACTTAATTGAAAACAACCTTCGATACAGTATGAAGATTCATTGTATATATTGAGAGAAAATACTGTTTATTTGTTCTATCTGCATGTTTACCTTTATTTATTCTGTGAGAACTCAGATACAAATTTCTCTCTACCTTCATTTTCCCCCCTAAAACTTATTCCAAATAAAATACATTTGAGATTCTTTGTAAGCATTAGCCAGAGAAAGGTAAGTCATGACCTTCCATTAGATGTCCTAGGGGCTATTTATTTGAATAAAAAAATAAATGTATGTTTCTCAGGTACATTTTAAGATGCTGTGATCTGGAGATGATTCATTTAAAACGATGTGTAACATTTACTGTGTTTGCACTATGATTCTGGCTACTGTGAAATTCTTGCTTGATACATAGTACCTGAGACACATAGCTGCACAGCTGTACTGGCTAAACAGTAATATTATTTACCATAGTTGCCCAATATTAATAATAAAGATAAAGCAAAAGATTTCAAACTGGCCCAATGTAAAAATGTATAATCAGTGGTAGGTTAGGACTGTCTAGGCGAGGGACTTTATGGACCTTATACTGGTGTTGCTAAATGTGTCCTCCTTGTCCTTTGTCCAGGTGGAAGTAAAGAAGGCTGAACCTCGTGACAGCAAAGCTCCTGGCCAGGTCGGCCCTGGCCAGTGGGTGCCCCGGGGCATCCTGAGCACAGCCAATGGGTGGACAGCACAGCCTGCCCCAGGCTGGCAGCAGCCTTACGGGGCGCAGGGTGAGTGGGAGCAGGTCCGAGAGCTGTTGAACCTGCTGCTTCAACACTGTTGAATTGATAAACTGTATCTTTGAACATTTCATATTTCAATTATTGTCCTAGTCTAAAGTTTTTTTTCTCTTCCTGAAGGAGTGTGGGTGTCGACTACTGGCCAACCCTTAGGTAAGTGTTCGTCTCCACTTTACAGCAAAAATACATTTTAGAAAATTGGTTGGTTTTCTGTTTGTAGGCCTCTAAAAGTTATTGACCTATTGTATGATATTACATTTTTCTTAACTGATCCAGAGTCAATTGTAGTTATTATTTGGTTGTGTGGTTTTACAATATTCATGTTTTATTTGTAATTAGAATATTTGAATATTTTTCACATTCCAAATCCAAAGTATTGATATTGCGCTTGTAATGGTGTAACATTATTTGCTATTATCTCGATGATTTTTTCTTTCATATCAAAATGATGTCTAAAACAGGAGACGTCAAACAAAAGTATTTATGGTCACTGGCCTTTCTGTATGCTGCATAACTGTGAATTGATCAAACTGCAGATAGATTTTGTGCCTATCTTGAAACGTCTGTGTCAGAGAAAAGAGCCTGCTCTCTGTGTGGCCAGTAGTCTGATGACCGTTAACAGCACGTGTTATCACTGATTCATAATGGCTGAGGCTGCTGGTAATTTGCTGCTTGAGACAGATGGCAGCCTTGAATAGTTTCCAGCCTCCCTCTGCTATTGGTCAAGCTCGGTTTCATATCACTACCTCCAGTTCAACCCACAATGCTCACTGCGGTGTTTACCCTCAGAAGATATTTCAGTTTTATTCAGCTGTAGAAATTCCCTTTCTCAAACCAGTTATTTTTCAACGTTATTTCTCTTGTTAAAGGTGGGGTAGGTAATTCACTTCAGAAACACTTTTTGTTATATTCCATGGAATGCTCTTAACATCCCGATAGCAATGAATATATTAAATGCTTTGACAATAAATACATACAAAAATGTCATCTGTGGAAGCCGTGGTGCTGTAAAAAGCACGACCAATTATTTTAGCCGGCCCGGCTAAAATAACTGGATGGCCTGTCAGCCTGTCAGCCTTCCATCTCGTGCACAAACTTATCTCGTGCCCTCATTGGTCATGTGTGCGTTCGTGTGTGTTGGAGGAGGGGCTCTGTAAGGAAGTCTGAAGGAAGGGGCAGATTTTTTTCGGCTGCATACTTTCAAATTCTAGCGCACTCGAGCGTTTCTCCATTCTTACCTACCCTACCTTTAAGCTGTTCAAAACTTACACCCATACATGTTGGCAGTTAGTTATTTTCGTGATTACAGTTATTGTACTTATTTCAATATATGAAACCAACATTTATCTAAAACATTTCTGTAAAATAGATCTGTTCTGTGTTGGAGCAGGTGGCTATGCACCTCAGCTGACAGCAAGCCGCGGTCACCCCACACATCCTCCGTCACCTTTCAACGGATTCCTGGTCACGACCCCGGCAGGCGGCTTCGCTGCACCTCAGGCCTTCCCTCAGCAAGGCTACAGCACCGCACCTCAGTTTGGTCAGTAACACTGTGACACAGTTACTACTTACACTGTGGTGTTGATTTAACATCACCATAAAGTACTTCTATAGCATATGTAAGAGAGAAGGTAACACTGTGGATTTGGTGGATATAAGTATAAAATAAGACATACAAATAAAAATTAGGATCACCAACACTGAAATAGGTGTTTAAAATGTTTTAGTTGAATCTATGTCAGGTTTTCCCGTCAGCTTTGCTCTTGCCAAGTTAAGGGAGGAACCTCCACCTTATCAGAGATGGACAGCATGTCTCGCAGATACCCAGCGTTAAAATAAAATCATGCTAAAAAGTCTGTGTGGGTATTATATCCTTCCAACAATTGAACCTGTTACCAAACTAATATTGTTAATCATGGACAACATATTAGGAAAGTGTTAAAGCAGATCAAAACTACAGTTACAAAACTATTAATCACAATGTAATCCAGCAATCTGTATTTACAAAAGACATGTGCATGTAAAACATTGATTCTTTATACCTCTGAATCATGGTGGTTTCTGAATGATGTGATGCAAGATGATCTTGTTACACACCAACAGGTTACAGTTTCAGCACACCCGCAGCAGACCATTACGCTCAACAGGTTCCTGCTCCGCCCACAACTCCAGGAACTGCACCTCTGGGCTTTGCTTCCGCCACCACACCGACTCAGGACTCGAGCAAAGCTCCCATTGGGCAGCCTGACTTCCCCTATTGCCAGTATGGTAAGAAAAGCATTGTGCATTAAGCAGTCTGCTGCCTTCTCCCTCCCATTTGGTTTTTATTCTCCCCTCGGCCCTGCCCATTTCCCTGGATTTTTCATTGGAAGCAACGACAGCTCATTCAAATGCTAAACTCTTAGACAAGCAGAAGCTTGTTCCTGGAACCATTCAGCTTGAACTGCTCCACATGCATACATGCTTCTTGCATACATGAAGCCCGAGGGCTGTGCAGCGAAGATGCTGCTGAAGATTCCTCATAGCCTGGAGTCTTCAGCAGTCATTTCTTTCAAGTTTTTCAAGTTTCTGTGGATTGATGAAAAAATATGTGTAGGTTTGAATTAGATCATCCTGGCAATGTTTTTTGTTTTGCATTTTTATTTTATTTGTATTTTCAAGGGAGTGAAAGCTTCTCCTGGCAGACTGCAATAGACAGTTGACGTGGTTCAATTATCCCTACCTTGTAATTATCCCACCTACACCTTCTCTCTTCTTCCCTGTTGATCACTTTGCTGGCTTCTTTTCCTGATGTTGGCACGACAGCCGTAGAAGAGCCCCAGCATGACAGTTTTACGCCTGTGAAACCTTATTTCTGGAATTAGGCATGTCCAGCCTGCCAAGCTACCTATCAAAAACGGACGACATGTCCATCATTTTATCAAACCAGAGCTTTGCATGTTAGACCCTCTGCCTTTTAAATACATGCACAAATTACAAGTCATACAGTAGATTCCTTGGCAAGTCATTTTTGGACTATTGTGTCTGTAGATTTTACTTCCTGTGAGTGTCTTTGTGGTCTTTTAGCTGGACTGTGTTCTGCCATGATAATTATTCCTCCTGGATCTCTTCTGGGCCAGTAAATTCTTGGCTTAATTTCAGTCAGCGTGAAAGGACTTGAAAATAACAGATTTCATCAAGCCACTTCTAGAAACTGATGTGCTTTATTAATTTCTGTGATTCAAATAATTGTGAGGTAGTTCTCCAGTGACATGGTCTATACACATGAAGACAGAGATACTGTAAAAACTAGCCAGCATCCATGGAATATGAAAATGCTTCAGTCAACATTCACACATTCAGTCTCATAAACACACATTGGATAAGAGTCAGATGTTCATTCTGAGGCTACATTCAGTTTTTTTGGCTGGCTGGTATTTTTCTTGGCTTACAGCTGCTTCACACTGCTGGATCTGCATTTAAAGCAGTCATGTGATCAGGATAGTCATGACAGGTGCCCATCTTGTTCAGTGTTTCCTGCTTGTGCTTATCTTCCATCCAGCTTTTTGCATTTAGTGTTCACTGCCTGACCTGTCCAGGCAGCATTTAAAGCCGCAGAAGCAACACACTTTTTTTTAAATATATAACCGCTAACGATTTTTTCGGATATCACACTCCTCTATAGCAAGGACTGGATATGACATTTTTAGCTTTTTAAGATGAGTAAATTGGGAAGAAATCTAGCAAGTTTGGTTTCAGGTTAGGTTTGGCCAACGTGAAGTGAGGGAGTTTGGGGAGAGTTGACTTCAAACCAGTGGTTTTGCATGTTTGATTCATTGATATTTCAATTGATGCCATTTTAATGATGCATACCATATATTATTGATGACTCCCACCTTCCAGGCAGGCGCTGGCTTTACTTAAATTACAGTACACTCACATTCGAAAACCTAATTCAGTGATATATTACAATAAACTATTTTTTGTACGTAATTCAAGAACACAACTTTGACAGCTCAAAAGCAACTTCTTCACTTACGTTTGTCCCTATAGTTACAGGAAATCGATATATTTTCAAGACTATAGCTAACCAGACAAGTTCTTTTTGGTTACTTTAGGATATTAAAAGAAAGTAGAGTTTAGAGAATAACCAGTGCTTACGATGCATCGATACATCAAGTCAATTTCAAGTTGATTGTCATAGCATTCTGAATCAATGACTGCTTGGAAGATAGGAAATCTCTCTAGGTTATGGCATTCTTTGGTCAATGGCTGGCAGCAATGGGACGTCTATGCAAGTCGTATTTTATAACTACAACAAGCAAAACACTGGTATGTTTTTTTCTCGTTACTCTCCCTAGTTGCTTCCCTCTTCCAATATTTTATTGTTAGGAAAAACACATTTTTCACGTTGCAATTTAACATATCATGCACATTTCACTTAATTTCATGAGGCCAGGCGGGCACGATTTGTGAGGAGCACTAGCCGATAGCTCACAAACTCACACTCCATTTTGTTTGACTTCCAGATAAGGCTAAGCATTGGTGCCTCTCCAGGCGTAGTGCAGTTGCAGTGAATGAGTATAACTGTGCAGCTCTTTAAGCTCAGTAAGGGGGGAACTTTGTAAAGTAGTCGGCCAGCAGTATCTGGGTTCAGTCAACCTGGTCTCCTCATCTCCCTGATAGGCTTGGGTAACTACCTTCAGGACCCCTCTGCCTACGGACCAACGCGTCCTTCTCACAGTAATGGTCAGGATGAGCAGGGAGGATATAGTGCAGGTAGGTGACAGCATTGTCTTCTCCAACCACAACAGTAGCATTTGTTCAGTACTATAGTGTTTATAGAGCTGCAACATGGTTCTTTTCCTCTTTTCTTTTGCTCTACGTTTTTCGTATTTTGCATGTACATTTTGCATGTACATACAAATTACATTGTATACTCTTGTATAGTAAAAAGCAGCCATCAAGTGTCAGCTGAGTGGATTTAAAAGACATTCAAATTGATTTGCATCATTCGGAGCCCAAAGCAGTCATTTCCCTCAGTGGCTGAAGCTTTACTATACCAAGACTAACCATGTCCTCATCGTTTGTCCACTCTCTCTGTCCGCATTGCTTTGCAGATTATACAAGGATGATCTAATTGTCAGAAAATGTGTTCATGGTTCAGTTGTCTTTATGCATCAGCAGTCCATTCACCCGTTGTTTCCCCCCATGTAATGTCTCCATATTATAGCTAAGGGGATGAGAAAGGAGAGAAGATTCAAAGAAGGACACAATAGCAATACATTTTCCAATTCCTCTCTTCCATTGGTCCTGTTGGGACCACTCTCTGTTCATCAAGTACCTGTGTATGTTCCGCTCATGGAGCACTTTGAACACCCCTAAAGAAATGTGATGTATTTTCTAACTTTACCTGCCATTTTTTTCCTTTCTGTCTTTCTATCTGTCTCTTGTATTGTCATTCCAATTATTTATAATGTCCCAACTCCAGTATTATTAGGGACAATTTCAAAATCACTACAAACTGATGTTTCTACCACCCATTTGGTTGCAAACCACTCAGTTTTTTTTCGCCCATCCCTTTAATGTCCCTTTGGCTTGGACAGTGGCTGGGGAGTTTGGGTTGCCCCAGCCTTTTTTCCAGTCAGATCAGTTTCCTTCCCTTTGTGTCACTTTGGTTTCCCTGTCTGTTTGCAGGGAGATGGTGCCATCCAGTGTCTGAATAGAAGAACATTGATCATCAAGAGAATCTAGAGATTGTTTTCCTCAATGAAGCCTTCTTAAATTAACTGAAATTATCAAGTTTGTCTATATACATTTTAACAATATTGTTCAACACTAAAGAGCTCATTGAAGGAATACAGTATTTGCATTTAGAGGGAAAATCCACCATGAAACCTTTACATTTTTTACACAACATGCTATTAGCGGTGCATATTTAATTTCTTTATCTATTTATTTGTTTGGTGTGTCACAGTTCTTGTAGCACAAACACATTTCAAAGCCCAAAAAATAAAAAGTACATATTTTAGATCTCTCTATAGCTAAAACAATATAGATATAGTCAAGATTGAATTACTAAACAAAGTAAAATTGGGAGAATCATTTTGATGTCAGCTTCAGTAGAGTTTCTAAAACATTTCCTTTTGTTGTCAAACAAAACTATTTATCTAAAAAATGTATTGTGTAGTGAAAAGGTTGACGGGTGGATTTTGCCTTTTCCATTAAAAGTTGTTTTACTTAGCAATACTTGTAAAGAAGTAAGGCTTCTCCCCAAACACTGTCCGGTGTCCCTGACATTAAAGTCCTTCTTTCCCTCTGCTCTCTCCCGTCTGTCGTCCTCAGGGTACGGGCAGGACCTGACCGCCTTCAGCCACACCTTTGCAGACCCCAGCCAGCCCACGGCTTCCTACGGGACAGCACAGCCCGCCGGCCCCCAGGCCACTGCCACTGCATTTGGCAGAGGGCAGAACCACAACGTACAGGGCTTCCACCCATATAGACGCTGACCACCACCTCTGGGCAGGGCAGCTGTGTAAAGTGCAGAAAAAGAAAAAAAAATAGAAGTCAGGGAAATGTGTTCTTGCTAAAAAGCAAAACTGGAGTTCTGGATTGTTCTGTGGGAATGTTGACTGCACACAGTTTGTGAAACAGAAACGTTTGTGAAAGCAGGGATTCCAGTTAAGTCAAATGGGTCTAAAGAAACCCAGGTTTTATTTTTTGCATAACTTTATGAACATTCAGCAGAATGAAGCTTTTATCCCCCACCCACCCCATCCCATGTTTTATAGTAGGACTAAACTACTTTGCAATAATTTTGATTGTCTGGTCAAACACTAGCACAGAGACATTATGTAAAGAGACTTGCATATAAATATGTATATTTACGGTGGACACAAATGAAAACAGGGTCTCAAGTTTCCTCAGCTTTAAATTCTAGGGAAAAATGTTTTTATTTTTCATTTGGTGGTTTTGTTTACTTTCTGAGCCTTTAAAGTTTGTTTAAAATGGAGATTATGAATATATATATATATTATACACAAACTGTGCAATTTTTTAAAAAGAGAATTTTGTACTATTAATGTACACTTTGCTTGTTTTTTTATTTAAAGATGTAGACTTCCCTCAGGTGGCTCTTTTGGGTGCATTTTTTGCACTTACGCAAAAAGAAAAAAAGGACAAATTATTACAAAAATAAATGTTTTAAGGATACAGTTTTTGTCCCGGTTGTTTATATTTGGTTGTGTTTGTATTTGCTTCTGGTGTTTTAAGGGTAAAACCTACAAAATAGAGCTGAAACAATTGGTTGATCATTTCTTAGTAGATTGAATCAGCCGTTTTTTTTCAAGCTAAAATGGCACAAAAAGTGGTTACTGCATTTCAAATGTAAAAAATGTGCTGCTTTTATCTGTTTGATATTAATCAAAACATAAGTACATTTCCCACCTGGCTCTCAAAAACTGAGAATATAATAAATGTCGAATTAACATATAATGAAAATAATCATTTTACAAGTTTAACTTTAACGTTTTTTTTTTTTTCAATTACGCTTTTTGAAATGGCTTGGTATTTTTACAGATTAGAATTAGGGTTGTTTTTGCTGTATACTAAAATAAAAAATAGATCTGTTCATGAAATTATTAACGCAGAAAGGAATTTGAGGGATCACATCCGGGTCACAAGATATAACGTTTGATTTCCAAACCCATTTCCGCGTTCTTAGCATATTAGCATTTAGCAACCTGCTCTGTTGGATTATTTGCACGTAATTCAGACTCCGGTCGTTGTTTCCTAAACGGCGAATCCTCAACACAAGACAGAAAGTGTAAGCTCAAAATGAATGAGTGTTTATTGCTTGCTTTTGTTTCTGTTTCGGTGTATTAGCTAACGAGTGTTTGGATAACGTTAATGGGCGGCTAACTGGCTAGCTACAGGCTACGTAGAATGTACACAGTGTGTTTTAATTATTATAACATAGATAATTATAAGTCTTTGTCATGTTTTATGGGGAGTACACATATGTCTCGACCAGATGTTTTCTGTTTGGCGTGAAGCTGTCGGTGACTTTGCAGACTTCATCAGCTGAAGTGTCAAAACGAAACTAATAGTTATTCGTTAAACAAATGTTATGTCGTTGTAAATGGATGCTAGAAAACATGTAATAACTGAGAGGATAATGCCAGATATATGTACTAGAAAATACCACAAGGGGATATTTACATGAATATTTCACGAGTAAATTATACATATCGAAAAGTAGGGCTAAAAAGCAGAAGTCGTTGAAGTCACATGGACAGGTAACTGATTAAAACAGTCAGGCGGAAAGAGCACCCAGTTGTTGGGGGACACCGTGGGTATTCACCATCTATCCAGTTCACGGAAGATTGTTTTTATTTTCGATTTAAACACTTATGAAAGAAATACTCAGACCTTATAATAAAGGACAAATGCAAGCATCAAAATATCCTCAAAGTACCAAAAGGGAAATAATTACTTGTGCAGAATGGCCCATTACTGAATAATTCGCATTTTATTACGGAGTAATAATCAATGATGGCTGTTTTATCACTGTAGATTTTTTAAATTGTAGTTTTAGCATTTTGGACAATTAGTTGAAATAGGCAACGTAACTAGCAACCCAAGCTGTCAATGTAATGAAGTGAAAAGTACAATATGTCCTGCAGTGTAATGTAGTGGGCTAGAAGAATAAAGTAAAATACAATTATACATGAGTTAAGTAAATATACTCGCCAATGCTGCTCAGCGCAAACCCATCTTCACATTAAGAACAAAACTTAAAGTTGCTTTTAATAAAATATTTGAGATTGTCTTGAAATATTCAATAATTATACTTAAAAAAATAAAATAAAATCTAAACCACACTTAAAAGGGTTTTAACCTTAACCCTATCTCACGGCCTACATCCGCAGGAGGAGTTTGATCAGTTGTGACCTGGACTTTCAGTCACGTGATAAAGGGGTCAGATATAAGGATAGATTCTGCATTATAATCCACTTTAAACAACTCATCTTAAATGTACAAGTATGGCATTGGTTCTTCCAACACAAACCTGAATTGCTAGAAGGGAGCTGCTGTGTGTTTCTGGGAAACAACTTCTGTAGAATTTGCACTTTATTTTGACCCCAGGCAACAGAACAGCCTACAGTAAAATGTGGAGCGACAGTGCAACATTTGCCACAGTTATAACACAGACGCTGAAGTGTCAGCATCATGCAGCTGAGTCACACTCAGTGAGACTCCATTTCAGGAACATACAGCTGGAAATGTGGTGACGGCCGACTGTAGAGCAGCAGCTCCTCCATGAAGCAGCAGAGAGACATCTGCCCTGAGCAGGGCCTCCACTCCAGTAACAGTTTCACTTTGTTAGCACGTGACCTTAGCTTACGGCTAGGTCTAGGTTTTCACATGTTGAGTTTTGTGTAAATAATTTGATTGTCAGTTAGACCAGGTGCTGCCGTAAACAGTCTGAAACTTGTCTAAATGTTCAACATCTCCACTCCCGTGTGTTTCCCTCAGGGTGTCAGGTCTGGTCAAGGGTCGTCGAACAGTTAATGCACAGAGTAAAGAGGCGGAAAATTGAAGACAAAAGAGAAGACAGCCCTGAAAGGTATGTGTCATTTTAACCTTCACAGCTGTTGGTAACATTTTATTTATTTTCATTATTATTTTGATCAATTACATTTCTGGTCTAAGAAATGTTTTTTTATTGTGTGTGTTTGAAAATAATGGATCATGAACCACTGTATTCTGACCTGCTGGTGGTACTGAAAAGTTAACTGATCATCTTTAGGAAACAACCTCAGTGGGACGGGAATGTGTGAACCTAAATTCCTGGCAATCGCTCCAATAGTTGTTGCTGTTAAATTTCCTTTTCGACCAAAGGGGTGGACCGATCACCTGACAGATTGGCACCTCCATCCATAAAAAAAATAACATTTAAAAATCTCTTTGAGATGACTCATCACTTTAACAAGATTATACGTTTAGAAGACCCATACATAGTCTATTTTCTGTTAGAACGTCCGACTTGGTAGGTAAAATAAGCCATACTCAATCAAAGATGTAACCATGTTTTGCATTTTGCTTGTGGTACTTTCCCTCTGGGATTTGCTGTAGCTGTGTCTGATCAGAGTTTCTGTCTTCAGCGTCAGACTGGCACTGGCAGGCATGACGGGGCCGGAAGAGCTCTCTGACAGCACAGAGGTGGTGGAAATGGACGACGTGAATCTCAATAGGTTCCAGGTGGAGAAGCATACCTGGGATGGCCTGAGGAAGATCATCCACAACAGCCACAAGAACACACGCGTGGTTATTAACAAAGCGCCACACGACTTCCAGTTCGTCCAGAAGGATGAGACCAGTCCGCAATCCCACCGCATTTACTACCTTGGTGAGCTCGGGACAGAAATGTAGTATTTTCATGCAGGCTCTGAAATGAGTACACGCTAATGTAATTTTCTACTCGTATTGTAAAAATACAGCTGAGATAAAGTGCTGTTGGCAGGCACAGACTCCTTGGCCTTCAGATTCAGCTGCTTAATTTCTGTCTTTTGGAAAGCTAGCATGCTTCTGTGAATAATATGTGGATACAGCTGGTGAGTCACAGTTGTCAGCCTGCAACTGTTTTCAGACTCATTTGATATCCACCGAGCTGCAGTGGATCAAGGCTGTGTGTGCTTGAGCATACCTCTAACTCAACTAGGAACACAGATTACCTCTGAGGCCATCTTTCTGCTTTTTCTGTTGCAGCTGTAGTGCACAGAATCAGTAGAAAAGTATTGCTGCTCTTTCCTGCTTTTCCTAATGTGTGTCAGTTGTAGTGTGTGATATCATTTCCAGAGGTCTGTGAAATTGTATTATTTGCCCCACACATACAGTCTGGAAGACCTGTACCCATGTAGCTCTGTTGTTGACTTTACGTGTGTTTGTGCTTTCATAGGAATGCCTTACGCCAGCAGGGATAACGCTTTACTTTACTCCGACATTCCCAGGAAGGTCCGCAAAGATGCTCTATTGGTTTTGTCATGGAAACCAATGCTGAATCACTTTCAGGTGAGAAGGACATTTAGTTCATTCTGACACTTTCACTTAATTTCTATGGCGTTCACACCCCGTGTTACCCTGAATTCTTGAAGAAATCTTTATTCACCTGTCTCTACATTGAATAAAATAATCAAAAATGAATTGAAGTAAATGGAGGCTAACTTGTTTGCTTAACCATTAACTGTATTAAACACTTCCCCATTAAGAGACTGTTTATGCACAGGTATTAAAAAAAAAAGTTCAGTTTTAGCGTAATTACATGTGTCTTTTTAAAACTACTCTTTTAAATGTTCCCCTGACGACAAAACAAGCTAGACCACTTTATTTCCTAACAGAAGTTGTTCCCGCTGAAAGGAGAAAATAGAGTGTTATAATCATTGGTACCGACCAATTATCTCTTTAATTCAGTGTGTTTTCTTATGGTTTGTTTGTTTACCATGCCCTGAACAAACTCACTTTGACTTTGACCCGCTCGGCCATCATGTTGTGTGTCCTCCTGTCACCCTGACCTCAGGCCAGCTCTCGCGACGGGAGCTTCTCTCGGGAGGAGGAGCTGCTGCGAGAGAGGAAACGTTTGGGGGTGTCTGGCATCACCTCCTATGAATACCACCGACCCAGCGGCCTCCTGCTGTTTCAGGCCAACAGCAGCCTGTACTACTGCAGCGACGGTGGAAACAACACTTTCACCGTGAGTTTCACAGCACTGTCAATGCCAAGTCACGCAGTGAATAATGGCTAAGATTGCTAATAGGTCACTACCTCAATAATGATCACTTTCGGTCCTTTAACAAGAAGTTGCATTACAGAAATACGAAAAGGTATATTGGAGGTCATTTCGAAACTTTGGATGTTTGTTAAGTTTCTCCAACAGAAAGCACTGGCAAGGATATTTGTCAACATCTGAGTAAATGTCTTAATCACAGTGAAGACAGCATCCAACTGGTATTTTACTGCTAAAAAAAAAAAAACAGTGTTCAGCTTTGTGGCAAAGTGTTCAACTTATGAATGCAGACAATTATTTGAGCACAAACATGAACATCTACAAAAATATAGAATCTGAACATTTGGAGACACATTTTTACTGGACAGTGACATTTAAAAAAAAATATATAAATATAAATGTAGGTCTTCTCACTCTTGGTCAGACACT